CCCCGGGACCCGGTGTCCGGTCTGTTTACCCTAGACACCGCTTCCCCCCCGGTTGGTGCGTCCTCCCAGGTCGCTGCAGCTTGCTCCTGTCGGTCCCTCACTCACCCGTCCCTTCTCTGGCACCACCGCTTAAGTCACCCTGCTCTCCCGCGTCTGCGTCACATATCCCAGCACGGTCTTGTCTTAGGTCTCCCCGCGTCGCTCCCTGCCCTTCCTCCCTCGACTGCGCCACCGTGCACGCCTTGCGTCGAGGGTCGGCTCCGCCGTGCTCCTCACTCCTCCTCACTGCGCCCTGCTACTGCCCCCCTTCAGACCCTGCACCTAGACGTTTGGGGCCCTGCCCCCGTCCCCGGACCGCGCGGTGAGCGCTACTTCCTTGTGCTCGTCGACGACTACACGCGCTACACCACGGTGTTTCCCCTGGAGCGGAAGGCCGACGTGCCCGACGTTCTTCTCCCGTGGGTTGTGGCTGCGCGTCTCCACCGCGGTCTCCCTGTGTTGTGTCTCCACTCTGACCTTGGCGGCGAGTTCACCTCTGGTCGGCTTGGACAGTTCTGTCGTGCGGAGGGCATCACCCAGTCGTACACCTTGCCGGACTCCCCACAGCAGAATGGGGTTGTTGAGCGCCGCATCGGCTTGGTCATGGAGGTCGCCCGTACCTCCATGATTCATGCCGATGCCCCCCATTTTCTGTGGCCGTTCGCTGTTCGCTACGCTGCTCACCAGTTTAACTTGTGGCCACGCTCCCAGCGGCCGCAGGTTTCGCCGACCCTCCTTTGGACCGGGCCCCCCGGTGACGCGTCTGCGTTCCACGTCTGGGGCTGCCTTGCTCACGTTCGTGCCTCTGGCACGGACAAGCTCACTGCCCGCACTGTCCCCTGTGTCTTCCTCGGTTTTCCCCTGGACTCGTCTGACTGGCTTTTCTACCACTCGCCGTCTCACCGCTTCCTCCACTCTCGTGACGTCACCTTTGACGAGTCTTTCTCCTTCTACCGCCACTTCCCTCACCGAGGTCTCCCAGTTGCCCCACCTCTGTTCCTGGCTCCCTCTCCCCCGGTAGCCCCTGCTCCCCTCCCGCCTCGTACTGCCCCGTCTGGTGTCTCTCACGTTACTCCCCTCCCGTCGGTTGTCCCCGTTGAGGAGTCTGCTGACTCTGGTGGTCCCCCCGGCCCGTCCCTCCCGCGTCCCCCTTCCCCAGTGTCTCCGCCTTCCCTGCCGCAGTCGCTGTCGCCGCCGCTGTCGTAGTCGCAGTCACCGCCACCGCCGCAGCCGCCGCAGCCGCAGCCGCCGTCGCCGCCGCCGCCGCTGCCGCCGTTGGCCTCTGGGGGTGCTGGCGTTGAGGAGGGTGTTCGTCCTGCGGCTCCCGGGGGTGCCGTTGGAGTTGGAGGGGGTTCTTGCTCTTGGGGTGTTGGTTCTGGGGGTGCTGCTGTTGAGGGTTTCGCCGACGGTCGTCCTGCCTCTGCCGGTCCGAGGGTTCCGGCCCAGCTGTCGCAGCAGCCGCAGCAGCCGTCGCTGCCGGTCTCCGCTCTCCGCCTGCTCGGCCTTCCCTCCCCGGACCGCGCGCCGGTGTCTCCCCCACCGCCTGCTGACCTTCCTGTCTACGGTCCTGTGTTCTCGCCGCCGGACTCGTCTCCGGCCCGTCTTCCTCCTCGTTCCCCTCCTATGTCCCCTCCGCTGTCCCCTGACCCTACACCTCCGTCTCACGTTTTGGCTCGCCGTCCCTCCCGTGCTCGTCCCGTCTCTCCTGTCCTGCCCACCCACCCTATGTTGCTCCGTTCCTGCTCGTCTCGTCCTCCCCTCCTCCCGTCCCCTCCTCCCTCGTCCCTTGCTGTTGCACCTCCTCCGTTCTCTGACTACCTCCGTGCCGCTCGTCCCCTTGTCCCTCGGGTCCTTGCCTCTCTTGTTACCGACCCTGCTGTTCCTGTCTCGCGCCTTGACGCGCTTGTCGCTGCTGTCGCTGACTTCGCCTCTACCCGCCGCCTTGACTACGCTACCGCTCTGGTCTCTGACCCTGCCCGTCCTCCGTCCGTCGGGGGTGCTCCTGCCCTTGGCTGTAACGTCCTAGAGGACAGGCAGTACGAGCTTGCTTTCCTTTCCGAGGTTGCTCCCCATCTCTGTTCCATGCTGTTAGTCCCTGAGGGTGACCCAGACACCTTCGACATCCCGACCCCTCGCACCTACGCTGAGGCCACCTCGGGACCTTGGGCCTCTCAGTGGATAGCTGCCATGGAGCAGGAGATGGCATCTTGGAGGTCCACCGGCACTTACGTCGACGCAGTTCCCCCGCCTGGGGTGAACGTAGTCGATGGTCGGTGGCTCTTCAAGGTGAAGCGCCCCCTAGGAGAGCCGCCTGTCTTCAAGGCGCCCTACGTGGCCAGAGGCTTCAGTCAGCGCGAGGGGGTGGACTTCTTCCAGACCTTCGCCCCGACCCCGAAGATGACCACTCTTCGGGCGCTGCTACACGTAGCAGCACAGCGCGACTACGAGCTTCACTCCCTCGACTTCTCTACTGCCTTTCTTCAGGGCAGCCTACACGAGCAGGTCTACCTGCGCCGACTATAGGGCTTCACTGGCACCTTCCCCCCCGGGACCCAGTGGCTTCTCAGGCGCCCGGTCTACGACCTGCGTGAGGCTCCTCGCAAGTGGCACGACACGCTGCGGGCCACGTTAGCAGACCTGCAGTTCTTTCCGTCCTCTACTGACCCCTCGCTGTTTGTGCGTTCCGGCCACACTCCGTTCTGCATCGTTGTCTACGTAGACGATATAGTCTTCGCTACTGCTGACAGGGACGTACTGGCCTCTGTGAAGGCCGAGCTTCTGAAGAGACACACCTGTACTGACCTTGGAGAGCTGCGTCGCTATCTTGGCCTGCAGATCTCTAGGGACAGAGCAGTACGCACCATCACTCTGACACAATCACACTTGGTGCGTCAGGTCCTTCAGAGGTTTGGTCTTCAGTTCTCCTCCGCAGAGCCCACACCTCTACCTGTAGACCATGGGCTCTCCGCTCCCATTCCTCAGGAGCCAGTAGAGCCCAGTGGCCCCTATGCAGTGCTGGTGGGTTGCCTCATGTACCTGATGGCTTGCACTCGCCCAGATCTCGCATACCCTCTCAGCATCCTGGCTCGCTTTGTGGCTACAGGCAGACACCGACCTCAGCATTGGTCTGCCGCTAAGAGGGTTTTGCGTTATCTTGCTAGTACATCGGACACGGGGTTAGTGCTAGGAGGACGCAGGCCAGTGGTCCTTACTGGGCACACAGACGCTTCTTGGGCAAACGACTCTGAGACGCTCAGGCCGTCGCAGAGCTACTGTTTTAGCCTTGGTTCGGGTGCTATCTCTTGGAGATCCACTCGCTCGTCGTCTGTGGCTCAGTCTAGCTGTGAGGCTGAGATCTACGCTGGTGCCATGGCGGCACTGGAGCTCCGCTGGCTGACCTTCTTGCTCACTGACTTAGGTGAGCGGCCTAGCTCTGCCCCGGTCCTGTACGCTGACAACAGGGCCATGATACTCCTGTGTCAGGAGCCTCGGCTTGAGGGCAGAGCGAAGCATATCCAGCTGCGGTACTTCCTCCTGCGCGAGCTACAGCAGCGCCGCCAGGCCCGCGGAGTTCACTTGGCCTCAGGTGCCAACACAGCTGATATCTTTACTAAGGCGCTTGCGCGTAAAGATCATCAGCGGCACTGTGTACAGCTTGGTCTTGTTCCTGTAGCTACTCACGTGTTAGGATCCCGATTGTGTACTCTCTATTATATATGCCTGTCAGACTGGCCTTGTGGCCTTACCTCCAGTGGCTGGACTAGTAGTGCCGCCCTGGCTTGCTTTAGTTGTGTTTGTGTTCTTGCTGACTGGTCTCCAGACCCCTGCCTCAGTGGTTGGACAAGTAGTGCCACCCTGAGCTGTTTACTTCTTGCTTAGCTTCACCCCTTGTCTAGCCTAGGGTGTGTGTCAACTTATACATATTAGCTATATAGAAGTTATTGGCTAGACTGAGGTATGCTTCTAGTGAGTACAACCAACTAGTACTTGTTCTAGGTTTCCACTTCTAGTCAATCATTCAGTTCTTACGTTAACACATGTGGCCCAGTGCGCACAAGGGGCCGGTGGGAGGGTGGGGAACTGGGCAGATGTGTTGGTATCAGACGGAAATATACGCGCTATCTGAAAAATCAGACGACTGCCTACACCTAGTCTGAGAATTCAGACAAATTTATATAACCAAGATGGTCGTTCAGATGGAAAATTAATGGTTGTAAAAAAATCAGATGACACGGAAAATGTGTGTCTGATTCTAAGATGAACAGACGGATTTCGTATGCTAACGGGAACCCTGGAGAGGAGTGTTGAGTTCACGACATTGGTCAGGAAGGGGCAAGAAGAAACCTAGTGAAATGTGAAAGAATTGAACACGTAGCATAAACGTGCTGCTTTTTCATTCTTTGTAACAGTTCGCCAGGAAACGAGGGAACCATTTTGTCGCATCGTGCACTGGCCTCTTCGTGCTTGAAGTTGGGTTTCGCCTGCCTTCCGCACTCGGCCTCTTCGTGCCTCCCCCATATTGCCACGTCGAAGTTCCCCCGAGTCCCCTGCCAGCACATTGCCACACGCACCGCAACATTGAGCTCCAACTGGGGGGTTACGTGAGGCTGTTGAATTTTGCTGGAAGGCATTTATTTTCTGTGGGCAGAATCGAAATGCCAAAATTCGCCATGCAGCCTCCCCTCCTATCCCCTCCCCGCCTCCCCTCCATCGAGGCCCACCAAGGAAAGGTAGGAATCGCGCGTGGAGGTTGTGTTCCGCCTTGAAAACACACATCCGCGGGTTTTACTGCTAGATGGTATGATGCTGAAAACATTTCGCGGGTTGCTAGCCGACCTGGGTAATTATTGACTTCAAATCCGCGCGTCTGTTTTGCCTAGCCATCACTGTGCTGCCGACTGTCATCACATTTTGCATTGACTTGTGCAAGCCCTCTCCATCCACCATAGGCTCCGTGTCAGGTGGTTTTGCTGGCCTGTTAGCACCTCGTTTGATTGCACTTCCATCCTGAACCTGGGCCATTAGCACCACGTACATTTATGGGCCGCTACGTCACACGCCTCCTTGCGCGCACGCATGAGAGAGCTTGTGCTAAGATCGTATTACAATAGCCAGCAACAGGGTACGGCAAAGACGAGTCGAATCGTGATGTTAAAAGCCTCACCTACCTGTGGTCGAGGCGCCTCGCAAAGGCTGCTTCACCTGCCGCCTGCACGAGGGCGATCGTTCGATGAGAGAGAGAGTCGGCCGTGGCGTTGCAGGGTGTTAATGACGTGCGATAGTCTAGTGATCATGACCCTCGTTATGGTCGTGTTAGGCGGCGCCTGCCCCTCGCAGGCTGCTCTCGCGGAGAAGTCACATTCGAAGCACACGTTGTCGCCGCAGTTATCGCGAATCACAGGCGTCGGCGAGACTTCAGGGTCTCGACGCCTTTTGCGTCAACAAGATGATGCCAAATCGAGCCTTTCACTTGGCGTCCGCGAAGGCGAGTGGGTGAAAGTGTCGGATATAGTTGTGCTCGAAGCGGCGCGGGCGGCCGATTTGCCTGAGGGCGGCGAGAAGCAGCAGGACAAGGGAGACGGCACCGTGAAGATGTCCGATCGAGGTAGCCAAGGCGGTCTAGGGAGCACCGACGCTTTTGACGATAAGAAACGAGAATCCGTTGGGGACGGCGTAAATGGTGGGGCAGGATTGGCGGCGGTGAGGAGCGGGAATCGAGATGGAACGGGCGAAGGGAAGCAGAAGCCTGGGGCGGATAACGGAGCTGGCAAAGGAGCTGGTGGGGGGCCATGGCAAGGCGGCGGTAAAAAGGAGCGGGAGGAGGTGAAGGAGGAGCAGGAGATGGGTGACGATTATGTGGATGATGGTGAGGGGGGTTGGGCAGCGCAGCCGGGGATGCGGGTGGAGGAGACGAACGGCGGCGACGAGGACCAGGTGGAGATGTTCGAAGACACCCTCACGAACGCGGAAATGAAGGAGCTTGCTCGAAACGCTGGGAAGACGAGCGCCGCGCAAGGCGGAACTCAGCACCGAGAGAAGAGCGGAGTGCTGCCAGCCCCGGCGTCGCTGCTGCCCCTTCCTATTCCAAGCGCCAACGCGCCTCTTGCGGACATGGCACGAAGGAATGCGGCGACACCGGGGCGAGCGAGCTCGACTGGTGGAGGGCAACTGAATGGCGGGCGGTCGACCGGGCAGGTGCTCACGCAGCAGCAACCGCAGAAGCGGGTCGGGGCGGTTCCACATCAGGGGTACGTGGACGTGCGGAAGAGACAACCGGCGGTTGACACGGGGGGGGGAGAGGACCGCGGTGAGCAGGGCCTTCCGACGGACTCCGGGAACGGAGCGGAGGGGAAAGTAGGGACCGCGGGCGGAACTAACGAGGCAGAGGGAAATGACCAGGACGACGGCGATTGGGGGAGGGACTTGGGCGCGAATGGGGAGGACATCGCCGCAGGCGCTGACACGATCAATGGCGGCGGTAAGACGGACGGCGCGGATGAAAACATTCCGCTTAGCGGGGACGTGGAAGGGGGTGATGGGGACGAGAGGGACTACGGCTCGGAGGCGGCGACAATGGCCGAGGAGAACGTGCCCGGGAATCCCGGGGAAATTGCCAGCAGCTGGATTGGGTTGGACGGCGGGCGCGGGAAGGGAGAAGGATACGACAGCGGCAGCGTATTCGGCGCCGAGAACGACATGGGGGGAGATATTGGCGTGATGCGGTTAATTAGCAACAGCATGGCGGTGAAGCGGGTGGTTGGCGCGAGCGTTGGAGGCAGGGCGCGGAAGGTTCCGGGAGGTGGAACCGGGAAGGCGGGGTATGAGGGCGAAAGGAAGGCGGGAAACCATAGGAAGCGGACTAAGCCGCGGTACAAAGCGGTGGACTGCCAGTACAGGGAGAAGGGCGCGTTTAGCAAGCTGCATCGGTGCGCTGTGGGCTACGCTGGTCACGCCGGTGTGACAGGTGAGCAGCGCTTGACAAGTGCCAGCACCTCAACTTACACGGGTGCCACTCAGCGCATGTGCAATGGTTGCGCTAGTATAGGGTAGCTTGTGCACACGAGTGACATGTGGGGGAGGAAAGCGAGAGCTCTCATGGATGCGAAATGCCACATCTGCTCACCACCTTATCACTCGCTTCCCCTTCCTTCCCTTCCTTTCCCTTGTCGCCAACGACCACCAGGCGGCTATAAGCGTCCCATATACCTGGTTACGAACAACGACGACATGGTCGACGACGTGGCACCAGGCACGATACGATACGGCCTCAACCGGTACCGGCGATCAGGCGTGACGATCCGCTTCGCGACGTCCATGCTCATCAACCTGAAGCAGCGCCTCTTCCTCCCGCCGCACACCACCATTGACGGCCGTGGAGCACGCGTCGCCATAAATGGCGGCCTGGTGCTGCACAATATAACCAACGTGATCATACACAATGTGGCAGGTGCGAGTTGGGGGAGGGGAGAGGGCTGAGATGGGCAACCGTCATTATTATTGCCCTGCTAATCCCTGTCACAGCTTTGGCGTCCTGTCTTTTACCCTGTTAGCAATCTTCCCAGGCAGACAGTCATGCCCTCTCTCGTCCACCGCGCAACCTTCTCTCCTCCCTCGCCTGACTTCCTTCTTCCCCTCCAGTTGGCAATCTGCCTGGCGACCATGACGTTATCCACATATCCAATACCACGCGTGTATGGGTGGACCACTGCGCCGTGTACAACGCCATCCGGGGCACTGTAGATGTCGTATATGGCTCTACAGATGTTACCATCTCCAACTGTTACATTCGTAATAAGTATGTCAATAGTGTTGGACCTCTTGCAACCTCCTTGTGTCAGCTCGCATGTCGAGAGATTGGGGTTTGTGCACTTCCACACCTCGCACAGTAACGGGCATCTGTTTGTTCTTTCTCACATGAACTCTTTCCCCTCCCTCCTCTGCCACCCTACTTGTACAGGAACCTCACCATGCTGCTGGGAGCAGACGATGGGGACATGAACGATGCCAACATGCGGGTAACTGTCTACCGCAACTGGTTTGACCAGTCAGGCCAGAGGCAGCCCAAGGCGCGCTGGGGCCAGATCCATGTGACAAACAACCTCTACACAAACTGGACCTACTACTGCATCGGTGGCCGAATGTATGCCAACATCCGGTCCGAGCGAAACGTTTTTATCGCTGGTGGAAAGCGAAAAGAAGTTACGCCGTGGTTTGGAGAGAAGAGCCTTCGAACAGCTGGCTTTGACAACACGCCGTCCATCCGATCGTACCACGACTTGCTACTGAACGGTGCTACCTTTCACCAATTTACTGGGTACACACGGCCATTCCTGCCTCCATACAGACTTGATATTCACCGGGCAAACAAAGCTCTGGCAGAATTTGTTCGTGGGAATGCAGGACCGCAGGTGGGGAGTTTTGTAGAGCTCGCTTGTACAGAGCAGACATGTGTTCAGCGAGGGGACTGGGTCTAAGCTACGGTATGCTTTAGGGTGGGGGGAGGGGGGGCGGATGGCGGTAGAGTGTGGGGGGGGAGGGGGTGGGGGGGTTTGGGGTGACTGGGCTCTAACATAGTTGGCCGAGGAATAATTGCATGCAAAAGTACCATATGAAGAAGTCATCTAAGCGCATACCCCAGTGTACACCTGTCTGCACCTTTGTTGGGGTATGTCAAACATAACTTATGTTGTTACTGCAGACTATACAGGTCTGTGCCTTAGAGGGTACTCTTAGAACTGAATGATTGATTGAGTAGGGAGAGAGTACAAGGGAATATACTTAAGTGTTGTACCCTCTAAGGGGTGACCCTATACAGTCTATACAAACATAACAAATATACATGTTTGACACACCCCCTAGACTGCATAGGGGCAGGTCCTGAACAAGCAGCTCAGGGCGGCACTACTAGTCCAGCCACTGAGACAAGAGTCTAAAAGACCAGTCAGAAGGAGTACAGACAAGGCAAGAACAAGACCAGGGCGGCACTACTAGTCCAGCCACTGGGAGAGGACACAAGTCCAGTCTGAGTACATATAGATATATAGGACAGTACAAAGTCAAGGCCCTAGCAAGTGAGAGACTACAAGAACGAGACCGAGCTGTACACAGTGCCGCTGATGATCTTTACGCGCAAGCGCCTTCGTAAAGATATCAGCTGTGTTGGCACCGGAGGCCAAGTGTACTACGCGTGCCTGGTGGCGCTGCTGTAGCTCACGCAGGAGGAAGTACCGCAGCTGGATATGCTTTGCTCTGCCCTCGAGTCGAGGCTCCTGAAACAGGAGGATCATGGCCCTGTTGTCAGCGAACAGGACCGGGGCAGAGCTAGGCCGCTCACCTAAGTCAGTGAGCAAGAAGGTCAGCCAGCGGAGCTCCAGTGCCGCCATGGCACCAGCGTAGATCTCAGCCTCACAGCTGGACTGCGCAACAGACGAGGAGCGGGTAGCTCTCCACGAGACGGCACCTGAACCAAGGCTGAAGCAGTAGCCCTAGGAAGACCTGAGTGTCTCGGCGTCGTCTGCCCACGAAGCGTCTGTGTGTCCTGTAAGGACCACTCACCTGCGTCCTCCTAGCACTAACCCCATGCCCGATGTACTTGCAAGATAACGCAAGACCCTCTAAGCGGCAGACCAGTGCTGCGGTCGGTGTCTACCTGTGGCCACAAAGTAAGCCAAGATGCTGAGAGGGTATGCGAGATCTGGGCGAGTGCAAGTCATCAGGTACATCAGGCAACCCACAAGCTCTGCGTAAGGGCCACTGGGCTCTACTGGCTCCTCATAAACTGGAGCGGAGAGTCTGTGGTCTACAGGCAGAGGGGTGGGCTGTGCAGAAGAGAACTGAAGGCCGAACCTCTGAAGGACCTGGCGCACCAAGTGTGACTGAGTCAAGGTGATGGTGCGCGCTGCTCTGTCCCTGGAGATCTGCAAGCCAAGGTAACGGCGCAGTTCTCCAAGGTCAATACAAGTGTGTCTCTTCAGCAGCTGTGCCTTCACGGAGGCAAGTGCGTCCCTGTCTGCTGTGGCAAATACCAGATAGTCCACGTAAACAAGGATGTAGAACGGAGTCTGGCCAGCACGAACGAAGAGTGAGGGGTCTGCGGAAGACGGAAAGAACTGCAGGTCAGCAAGGGTAGCACGCAGCGTATCGTGCCACTCACGGGGAGTCTGCCGCAGGCCGTAGACGGGACGCCGCAGGAGCCACTGGGTCCCAGGAGGGAAGGTGCCAGTAAAGCCCTGAGGGCGATGCAAGTAGACCTGCTCGTGTAGGCTGCCCTGAAGAAACGCAGTGGAGAAGTCGAGGGAGTGAAGCTCGTAGTCACACTGAGCAGGTAGGTGTAACAGAACCCGAAGAGTAGTCATCTTTGGGGTCGGAGCGAAGGTCTGGAAGAAGTCCACCCCCTCACGCTGACTGAAGCCTCTAGCCACGTAGCGCGCCTTGAACACAGGCGGCTCTCCAGGAGGGCGCTTCACCTTGAAGAGCCAACGGCCATCGAGTACGTTCACCCCAGGCGGGAGAACTGCATCGACAAAGGTGCCGGTGGATCTCCAAGATGCCATCTCCTGCTCCATGGCAGCTATCCACTTCGAGGCCTAGGGTCCCGAGGTCGCCTCAGCGTAAGTGCGAGGGGTCGGGATGTCGAAAGTGTCTGGGTCACCCTCAGGGACTAGCAGCATGGAACAGAGATGGGGAGCAGCCTCGGACAGGAAAGCAAGCTCGAACTGGCGGTCATCCAGGACGTCACTGCCGAGGGCAGGAGCACCCCCGACAGACGGAGGACAGGCAGGGTCAGAGACCAGAGCGGTGGCGTAGTCAAGGCGGCGGGTAGAGGCGAAGTCAGCGACCGCAGCGACAAGAGCGTCAAGACACGAGAGAGGAACAGACGGGCCGGTAACGAGAGAGGCGAGGACCCGAGGAACAAGAGGACGAGCGGCACGAAGGTAGTCAGACAGAGGAGGAGGCGCAACAGAAAGAGAGGACAGAGGAGGCGACGGTAGAAGGGGAGGACGAGACGCGTGGGAACGGAGCAACATAGGGTGAGAGCGCGTGACAGGGGAGACAGGACGAGCGCGGGAGGGACGGCGGGACCAAACGTGAGACGGAGGCGTCGGGTCAGGAGACAGAGGAGGGGACACAAGGGGGGAGCGAGGGGGGAGACGAGCCGGGGACGAGTCCGGCGGAGGGAACACAGGGCCGTAGACAGGAAGAGGAGGAGACGGCAGGAGAGGAACAGACACAGGGTTAGGGGACGGAAAGACGAGTAGGCAAAGGGCTGACACCGGCGGGGACTGCTGCTGCGGCGGTACAACACCAACACCGGGGCCGCAAGCTGCTCCTCGGCTACCTTCGGGACACTCCACTCCGGCACCCCCAGAAGGAACACCCCCAGGGCCCGAAACCCCTCGAGCACCGGTACCACCCCCAGGGCCACCGGGGCAGGCCACAACAGGAACCTCAGAACTAGCACCCACCCCAACGCGGGCACCCCCAAAGTCGACGAACTGCTGCTGCGACGGCGGCGGTGGCGAGCTAGGACGGGCGGAGGGACAGCTAGGACGGGCGCGGAGGCCGTGAGGACGGGCGCGGGGGCCGTGAGGACGGGCGCGGGGCCAGCTAGGACAGGCGCGGGGGCCGTGAGGACGGGCGCGGGGCCAGCTAGGACGGGCGCGGCGGGCGCAGCTAGGACGGGCGAGACGGGGCCAGCTAGGACGGGCGCGCGGGCGCAGCTAGGACGGGCGCGCGGGCGCGGCTAGGACGAGCGCGGGGTCGACTAGGACGGGCGCGGGGGCGGCTAGGGCCTAGGGCGGAAGCATGGGCGGGCGGCGGGACCTACCTACTGCTGATACCATCTTAGAACTGAATGATTGATTGAGTAGGGAGAGAGTACAAGGGAATATACCTAAGTGTTGTACCCTCTAAGGGGCGACCCTATACAGTCTATACAAACATAACAGATATACATGTTTGACAGGTACAGCACTCTAGTCTATATTGCCCTGTATCTTCCTATTCTAGTCATTCTCTCTTTCTAACATGGTATCATGAGTAGGTTAGCTTCCTCTCGCCCGCCCGCACTTCCGCCCTAGGCCCTAGCCGCCCTCGTGCCCCGCCCCTAGCTGGCTCGCCCTGGCCGTTTCGCGCCCGCTCCTAGCCGGCCCTCTGGCCGTTCGCGCCCGTCCCTAGCTGGCCCCCTGGCCGTTCGCGCCCGCCCCTAGCCGCCCCCCCCCCCCCCCCCCCCTCCCCTGGCCGTCACGCCTGCTCCTAGCCCCCCCCCCCCCCCTGGCCATTGCGCCCGCTCCTAGCCGGCCCCCTAGCCGTTCGCGCCCGCCCCTAGCTGGCCCCCTGGCCGTTCGCGCCCGCCCCTAGCTGGCCCCCTGGCCGTCGCGCCCGCTCCTAGCCGGCCCTCTGGCCGTTCGCGCCCGCCCCTAGCTGGCCCCCTGGCCGTTCGTGCCCGCCCCTAGCTGGCCCCCTGGCCGTCGAGCCCGCCCCTAGCCGGCCCCCTGGCCGTTCGCGCCCGCCCCTAGCTGGCCCCCTGGCCGTTCGTGCCTGCCCCTAGCCGGCCCCCTGGCCGTTCGCGCCCGCCCCTAGCCGGCCCCCTGGCCGTTCGCGCCCGCCCCTAGCTGGCCCCCTGGCCGTTCGTGCCTGCCCCTAGCCGGCCCCCTGGCCGTCGCGCCCGCCCCTAGCCGGCTCCCTGGCCGTCGCGCCCGTTCCTAGCTGGCCCCCTGGCCGCTCGCGCCTGCTCCTAGCCGGCCCCCTGGCCGTTTGCGCCCGCCCCTAGCCGACCCCCTGGCCGTCGCGACCGCCCCTAGCCACCTCCCTGGCCGTCGCGCCCGCTACTAGCTCACCCCCTGGCCGCTCGCGCCTGTTCCTAGCCACCCCCCTGGCCGTCGCGCCCGCTCCTAGCCAGCCCCCTGGCCGTTCGCGCCCGCCCCTAGCCCCCCCCCTGGCCGTTCATGCCCACCCCTAGCTGGCCCCCTGGCCGTCGCGCCCCTCCTAGCCAGCGCCCTGGCCGTTCGCGCCCGCTCCTAGCCGGCCCCTCGCGCCCCTGTCGCGCCCACTTCTCACCGGTCCCTCGCGCCCGTCCCTCGTCGGCCCTGCTCCCTCTTCTAGCCGGCCCCGGGTTCGCTACGCCGCCGGCCCGTCTCTGACTCGTGCCCGCTCCGTCCTTCTCCGATCTGCACTGCCCTGCACCGCCCGGAGACGCTCTCCACCGCTTTGCACCGCACTCCACCGCCCAGCACCGCACTGTACCACCCAGCACCGCACTGCACGATACCGCACTGCACCGCCCTACACCACACTGCACCGCATTGCACCGCCCTGCACCGCCCTGCACTGCACTGCACCGCTTAGTACCGCACCGCACCGCACCGCTCTGCATCGTTCCTGATGGCGGAGGTGCTTCGCTTCGACGCTGAGGGTCAGCCGCTTGAGTTTGACGCGTGGCTGGTCGACCTCCGCCGCCATCTCACTGGTCAGCGGCAGG